CTTGTACCCCTGAATATATTTAATTAACTAAAGTTCTGTTAATTATCAAATGCTAAGTCATTTTGGGTTCCATTGTTAATGGCTGTTTTTCTTGACTGTGGTCACATTTTCTTGCTTCTCTGCATAACTAGTAATTATTTTACTGTGTGAAGTACACTGATTACTCCTTGTGTCTAGTCTGGATTATGTCATCTTCATCTTTTTAATTTTTAAAATAACTTATCAAACACACAGATACAAAACATTAAAACCATTCAAAGAAGAACAATGCAAGGGGAAAAAATTACAATAATATTCAAATACAGTAGAACTCAACCAAAACAAAACTGAAAAGCACTTAAATATTTTTCCATATAACTTAAAAAAGCATCTCAAGCACCAACAAGACACCAGAGGATGTGATTTGTTTCAGAAAGATCTCCAAAACCAACATTGAACAAATAATGATCTGGAAAAAAACTCGTTAGCAGACTCCACATAAGCCAAACTTCTCCCTAATTTAAATTTCGATAGTCATATGACACGGGATGGAAACACAATCCAAGAAATGTTATTAGGCCATTTCATCTGTGTGTATCCTTATTTACACTATCAGTTTCTCACACTAGAGAAACTATTTGGTATTTACACGTGTCCTATTTCACTTAAGAGGATGGCCTCAATATGCATCCATTTAGCTATAAACGTCTCTAGTTTCTCATTCTTTATGGCTTAGTACTCCATTTTATTTTTTAGAACCCCCACATTTTCTTTATCCAGTCTCCAGTTGATTAGCAGTTGGGCTGCTTACAAGTTTTAGCTATTATGAACTGTGCTGCTATGAACATGGGTGCACATGTATCACTGTGGTATGATTCTTTTAATTCTTTGGGGAAGCTATCCAGCAGGGGAATAGCTGGGTCAAATGGGACTTCCAGTCCTAGTTTGCCGAGGTACCTCCATACTGATTTCCACAGTGGTTGCACCAGTCTACACTCCCACCAACACTGGAGAAGGGTTCCTTTCTCCCCACACCCCTACCAGCATTTGTTATTAGATTTCTTAATAGCCATTCTTTCTGGGGTGAGGTGAAATCTCAGTGTTGTTTTCATCTGCATCTCTCAAATAACCAGTGATGTTGAACATTTTTT